ACCAAAGCACAAAATTTAAAAGTAACAGCTTTACTCTCCAAACTTCTTTTGACAGATTTTCCAATTTCTTCAACTTGCCTGGTTATAATCTGGTGAGACAAACTGATTTTTAAAAATCCCTTTTTTTCAGGGCAAATTATATCTGCCATGCTTTCCATACCTTGCTTTATAAACTCACCATTATTAGTTTTTATTTTTTTGCTATCTCATAATTAGCTTTTACAATGGACTCCATCTATGTTGTCAATTTTTAATAAAAATGTTGTCGAGAAGATAGATTTCATTCCACTGTTCTATTCTCATGACACAATCCTTCACACACATCAAATCTGGCAGATGGTTTTTGAATATAATGCCTTTCTAAATTCTGTCTTTGAATATGTGCACCAATATTTCACATGTATAATATTAGCTATAGCACTAACTTAAGAGAAAAAGAAAAATGACCCTCAAAGAAGTTAAGCAGGCTGCCTAAAGTTACAGTGCTCATAAGTGACAAAGCAAAGAACTGAAGCCAGACATAAAAAATCCCATATGTTTACTTTCTAGATAGCCAAAAATCTCAAAATATAAATTTAAGAATAGAACTACACATATATGATCAAACTTGGCTTAAATTCAAAAAATTGTGTGCATACAAATGAGCTGCTGCTCCACATATTAGCTAATATTAAAAAAAAAAAAGAGGTAGATGCAGGTAAATGGATCCTTCATATATTGCTCTTATGAACCAGCATGGGGAAGAGGAGTGAACCAGAGTGGAACTGGTGGGGAATGACAAAAATACAGCAAAAGAGAAGACACAGAAATGAAAGATGGGATCGGGAGGTCTGACTGAGCTGATGGCTACAGCCATCCCCAAAGCACAAAATCAGTTTTATTTTATAGTATCTGTACAGGGTTGTCCAGTGCAAAGTAGCATGGACAATATGAGGAAATAGCATAAACAAGACATATTTTTGCCCTGCCACTAAGATAGGAAGATGCAAATGACTTGAATAAAGACAAATCATCTTGTTAATGGTTTCCACTCAACTTCATTAACATATGATAAGAAGTAAGAAGGAAAGATCACAAGGAGCTCAGCATAGTTAACTAGACAAAGGAAGAGCTACATGACTTCTGGCAGAGGGAGCATGAAGAAATGAATATGGTTGTTCAGGGGACAGAGGACAAGCCAATGGGGGTTCATTCCCTGAATGTTCCCCAGGTTGTGGGGGCCCTACCACCTCACGGCCCACTCTCCACACATTGCTGTGAGAATGTAAAATGGTACAGTCACACTAGAACACAGAAATAGAAAACAGTCGCTCTTTCAAAAACAAAACATACTTCTACCAGGTAATACCAGCAATTACACTCCTGGACATTTATCTCAGAAACAAATATGTATTTCCAGACAAAAACCTGTACACAGTTATTCATAGCAGCTTTATTTTTAATAGCCCAAACCTAGAAACAAGTACAATATCCCAGGATAGATGAATGGTTAAACAACTGAGATACTGTTACTATACCACAGAAACTATTCAGCAACAGAAAGGACCAATTGCTAACATAAGCAGCAATTTGGATGATTCTCAAGGGCATTCCCGAGTGAACAAAGCCAATCTCAAACTATCACGTACTTTATATTTCCATCAATATACCATCCTTGAAATGACAAAAACATACAGATAGAAAAACAGATGATCAGTTGTCAAGGTTTAGGGATGGTGGAGGGTAAGGAAGAGAGTGTGACTATAAAGGGAGAACACGAGGAGGCAGGTACTCGGTGATGATGGAATAGTTCTGTACAGAAACTACACGTGTGATAAAATACACATTGAAGGAATGCTAAATTACTTGGGTTCATATTATAATTCTGTAAGACGTAACAACAGGGGTTGGGGGCACTGGGTAAGGTTACACGAGACCTATCTGTATTATCTTTACACTTTCCAATTTATTGATAATTATTGCTTAGTAAAAAGTTTTTTTTTTAATTTTATCTGAGTGTATTAGTTTCCTGGGGCTACTGTAACAACAACAACAACAAAAAGAAAAGCCACAAACTAGGTGGCTTGAATAACAGAAATTTATTGTCTCACAAGGTGGCTCCTTCTGATAGTCATGAGAGAGAGTCTGTTCCATTCTTCTTTCCTAACTCCTGGGAGCCTTGCTGTTCCTTGGTATTCTGTGTCTTCACAACATTGTCCTTCTATGCATACCCGTCATCATATCCAAATTTCCCCTTCTTATAAAGACATGGTCAGGATTAGGGCCCATCCCAATGACCTTATCTTAACTTTATCAGCTGTGAAGGCCGTATTTCAAAATATGGTCAGTCACAACCATAGAGTACCGGGGGTTAGAACATCAATGTCATTTTGGGAGACACGATTTAACCCATAATATTGGGTCTAAGCGTATTAATTGTATAAGTATAGGAGAAAAAAAGCCTGGTTTAAATGCAATTCATATTTTAAAAGAAAAAAAAATAAGTTAACAAATGAAACACACAGTTTTTAGGGATAGGTTCTACCTAATAATTTAACAAGACTGCTTTTAAAGAAATGAATGCTGTCTTCCATTGCATTAATAGATTCAGATCAAAGATGAGCACAGCCATAACCCCTGTCACCTGTCAGATATCATATGGAATTTTCTAATCCATGTGAATGTCTATGAAATAAAGTGGATTCACTGAACTTCTGTGAATCTGAAAAGTAAGTAAATGAAGATGCTGAAGACTACAGGTGACATACTTGTCTTCAAAGTATCATCTTTGTAACAGTAAGGCCAAAAGAACTTCCTGAACTTTAGAATGTTGGCTGGGCATGGTGGTCACACCTCTAATCCTAACCCTTTAGGAAGCTGAGGCAAGAAAACAGTTTGAGGCCCAGAGTTTGAGTACAGCCTAAGCATGAGGGGGGCCATAGTCTCTACAGAAAATGAAAAATTAGCCAGGTGTGGTATTTTTCTACCAAAAATAGAAAAGTTAGCCGGGTGTGATGGGAGGCACCTATAGTTCCAGTGTTTCGGGAAGATAAGGTCCAAGGAGAGATAGAACACCTGAACACACACGTTTAAAAGAAGAAGAGCTTTATTTCAGCTGGTGGAGCCATGGCAGACTAGAGTCCAAAAATGGCAGTGCTCCCAACTGGCTCTGCCGTTTCCCTTTTATCTCCAGCCAAGGGTTCCTCATCTCCTTCTTAGAGATTTACAATATATTAGCATTTCAAAAGCTCTATAAAATTCTATACTTTTCACCACTGTAGAAAAGTTTAGAGAAAGACTGTTTCTTGGATAATTTTTATCTTTCATGGAATTAAGGTCTTTTTTAACTTGGATTTTTATTAATTTCTCACTTCGGTTGTATCCTAGATATGTATTTTGTTAAAGCTATCAAACATCTATCAACATAATTTTCCAAATAGGCAAAATGAGATAATTTACAATATGAATTACTTTATCCAATTTTTTTTTTCTCCTGAAGCCTGCCATCTTCCTGCTCCCGTGAAAACGGGCTACTCTCTAATCCTGCCACACTTCTCTCAACCTGGGGTTTCCCTTCTCGTTTTCCTAGTCTTATTTTCTGGATCTCATGGTTTTCTCTTTCTTGGCTTACTCTCATGTTTTTGGAGACATTCCTTAGAATCTTTGGATACACATTCTTTAGTATCTTTCTAAAAAAAAAAAAAAGAAGTGAATGTAAAGTATTTGCATACTTGTATACATAAAAATATGTGAAAATGTTTCTCTTCTGCTGTCTACCTGATGGATAGTTTGACTGACCAAAGAATTCTAGGTTGTAAGTATTGTCCCTCAGAACTTTAAAGAAATTTGACTTTATTGTGTTTTAACAGAGTATAACTGTTAAGAAATCCAATGCCATTCTAATTCCCATTAATTTATTCTTGTTTCTTCCTTCTGAAAATGTTGAGAATCTTCTCCTTATTCTTAATGCTTTCGCCTTTTAAAATGATATGCTTTAATATAAGTCTTTTTTCTTGGTAGGCCCTTTGAGTAAGAGGACCCCTGTCCTTCAGGCCTCTCAAAATTTTCTGAGCACTTTTTGCAGCAAAAAGTTTATTAAGCAATAAAACACAGCATATCAGACCGTTATCTTTAGTGTTAAATGTTTTATGATGAATTTACAAAAATTTTAAATGTTCTATTTGATTACAACTTCCCACTACTGTAAAGCCTAACACTGCTACTTACTTCAGTTAATGCAGAAACAGAAGTGGTTTTCTGAAGGCTGAATTCGAGGCAGGCATTCCTTACTACTGCTGTTCTACAATCCATTGTACTTAGTATGGATTTGGTGTTGTAGACAATACTTGCACTCACATTCTACAAAACAGTCACCTAACTAGAAAAGTGTTAAAAGACCGTAAGGTGTTTGCAGCTTTTTTTATGTGGCATTAAACGCTGGTTGCATTCTTCCCAGATCTGTAATAAAGAAATCTTTGCAGACTTACCTGGAGTCAGAGGGATGGACTCTGTCAAGGTTATTTTTCAATCTCTCTGTACACATTCCTGTAAGAGGGAGAGAAGCACATCCCATGTAGCGGGAATAAACACCGGACTCGATCTATGGCAGGATTTATCATCTACCCCTCCCTCCTGGGGAGCCAGATCCCTTTCCCAAAGCGCCCAGACCCCTCCTCCACCTGGAGGTTTGGAGAATCCCAGGAGACCGGGGCCCAGAAGGGAATCTCCTGGGCTGGCCAATCTGACCCTGGCCAAAGGCGGGAAAGAGGGGCTTTCCCAGATGGAAAACTTTTCCACACTAGGAGACTGGGGTTGGGGGGGCGGAGAGCAGACAAAAGGCGCGGCCCCCGGCTGCGTCTCCCACGGTCCCAGAGCCCCAAGCCTCGGCGTGGGCGGCGCGACGTGCGGAGGATCCCGGCCTGAGGCGGCTGCGACAGCCGCCGACGTCGCCTGAGAAGTTTGGGGAGGGCGGAGCTCGGCCGGCCGGGCTCGGCGGCGGGCGCGCCTGGGAGGGCCGCGGCGGCGAGAGGAAGCTCCTCCTCGGCGCGCCGCGGCGCCGCAGACTTGACCCGGTTCCCTCCGAGAGTCTGCTCGGGCCCCGGAGAAGCAGGGGCCGCCTGGGCCCCCCGGGGAATGGGCGGCCTGGTGACCTAGGCTCCCGGGGCAGGAAGGGCCCGGCGGCCTCGCTCGCTCAGGGGCGGACTCGGCCCCCGGCTCCCAGGACCCGGCGGGCGGCCTGAGCGCCCACGCCGCGGCCACCATGGACGACGGGACCATCTGCAGCGCCCTGCCCACCATCCCCTACCGCAAGCTCGCAGACCTGCGCTACCTGAGCCGCGGCGCCTCGGGCACCGTGTCGTCCGCCCGCCACGCAGACTGGCGCGTTCAGGTGGCCGTGAAGCACCTGCACATCCACACCCCGGTGCTCGACAGGTAGGGCGCCGCCGGAGTTCCCGGCAGAGTCCCCAGCTCCGCCGCATCTCCCTACCCTGCCCAGGGCTAGCGCGCTCTAGAGCCCGGATGGCAGTGACCACTGAGGGCCGTCCCATCCACCCCGAGGCAATCCGAGCGTGGGGCTGGCCTGGAGGGACGACCGACTTCTCCGGAGAGAGGGGACAGTCACATTCCTCCGCTCACGTCTCCTGCCCGCGACCTTCCTCTCTCTTGCTCTCCTAGCGTCTTCTCCATATTCCAAAAATCAGCAATCACAGTCCAACTCTCAGCGCCCAGTTTATTGATACTGATGCGTGTTTATATAGTGGGGGGCGTTGTGTTTGCTTTAATATTTCCCTTTTTGGGGGAAATGGGCGGTAGGGCGGCACTGTCCAGTAGGTAGCTCTTAGCGGCAGGTGGCTCTCGAGCGGTTGAAATGTGGCCATCCAGGCTCGGCGCCTATAGCTCAACCGGCTAGGGCGCCAGCCACGTACACCTAAGGTCGCGGGTTCGAATCCCCAGCCCGGGCCCGCCAAACAACAATGACGGCTGCAACCAAAAAATAGCCAGGCTTTGTGGCGGGCGCCTGTGGTCCCAGCTGCTTGGGAGGCGGAGGCAGGAGACTCGCTTGAGCCCAGGAGTTGGAGGTTGCTGTGAGCTGTAATGCCACGGCACGCTACCCAGGGGGACAGCTTGAGGCTCTGTCTCAAAAAAAAAAAAAAAAAAAAAAAGAAATGTGGCCATCCAAACGGAAATGCGCTGTAAGTGTATACACACTGGATTTTGGATACTTAGTAGCAATTTTAAAAACTTGTAATACTTTATTAGTATTTGTATATTGATTGTATGGTGAAGTGATATTTAACTCATATAAGATGTTAAAATTCATGTGTTTTTCTTTTTTAAATGTGACCAGTAGAAAATTTAGAATGGTACACGTGTGGTTTGCACTACATGCTTCTTGGACAGCACTGCTTAGAGTCTAGGATATTTTGGTTTGAGCTTTTTATTGTTTGTGGTTTACTATGTTTTGTCATGAAAGTTTAAATATCAAAATCGACATTAGCAGTTTAAATATCAAGTTCAGCATTAGCAGTTCAGTTCTTCCCACTCTTGCAGAGAAGTCTGTCCCTAGAGGAAATGTGTGTTACTTTTCTTACAATAAATTGAATCAAAAGAGTGTTAGATGGCCAAAATCGGGGAATGTCTCTCACATCTGGTTTGTGCCGGTTTTCAGGGAAGGTAAGTTTCTGTTTCCAGAGAAACATTCCAATTTTTGGAATGTAAATTCGTGACTGTGTGTATTTGTCAGTTGGTCTGGTCACTAGTTTTGTGTATTTTCCTTCCGAAAACGATTTAACTAAAGCGTGTTTTCAATCCCTTAGGAAGTTAACGTCTGTGACTGCATCCTTCCCTTCTCCCTATATATCAAATGGTGTCAAATACATCATCGCAGATGCTGCGATTGTCTAAAGGCTGTTAGTATCCAGTGTCAGATAATGCCTCAGCTTCAACTCTGCCAAAGGCTGTGGCTTTTCTTTGTTACCTCTCGCTATCAGGTTTGGATGGACTGGATGGCACAGTAGATTTGGGACACTTATAGAGATTTCTTCCACACTGTGTACACCCTAGTTCAAGTTCAGTGCTAAACACAGCGTGGTGTCTGTTTACTCTGGGCCTAATTTTCTGTGGAGCAGGTGCTGGGCAAGTGTGTGTATGTGAATGTTGTCGACTTTACAAGGTAGTTATATTCTAGAAAAAACTATGCAGATAGTTCATGGAAATGTAGCATGGATGGACCCATTGGCGTCCAATTGATCCTCCCATTTGGGACGCTGCTGCTCAAGAATTTGATTTATCTAAACGTTGTGCCATTTGGTGACCAAGGACTGAGGAGGGAGTTTCCTTCCCATGCTCATTAACAATTTTCATAGTCTAATATTCTTCACTTAATTGGGTAGGAAGTAATTCTGTCTTAAAAGAAGCTGTGAGATGAGTGAAACACTCTGGGATTACTACATCACATTCTTTTCTCCAGTGTGTTACGTAAGGTCTTAACACTAGCAGTATTTATGCAGTCTGAGCATAGGAATAGGCTATGCGGTTGACTCACAGGGTGTCTATTTCCTCACATGTAAAGTAGGAATAATAAACACGTGTACTGCATGGGCTCTGGTATGGCTAATGTTTGCATTGTTCTTTGGGATCACCTGAAAGAAAAATAAGTTTATGTGATGTTACGTGTTCCTATTTTAGTGATTGGTGAATCATTCTCCATAACCTGACTTCCCTCCAGTGAGTAGATCTTGCCCAACAATCTTCCTACGTGTGATGAGCAGTGGAGTTTATTTGGCTTTTGAAATATCCTGTCAATTAGAAATTTTTTTTAATTGAAATTTTGAGTTGGGTCATTTTAGTGATATGTCCATAGAAGCTGTGTTTTATATTTTTACTTCTGAAAATTTTCCAACTAACTTTTCTGATCATTCAATGGAGTAGAAGAAACACAGGCTTTAGAGTCCCATGTCTAAAATTCAAATTGGACTCAAACCTGCTACTTATTGTTGGTGTGGCTATAGAAAATTATCAATTTTTCTGAGCCTCCAAACCCTCATAAATAAAGTGTTGATAATGAAACACACTTGACAGGGTTGAGCTTCGCATGATAGTGCTTGTAAAGTGGCTGACACATCATAGGGTCACAGTGAAAGGAAGGATGCCTCATGCTCTAATGGGAGGAGGACATGGCGTATCAGTATCAATGAGACTTCTGTGGCATGCCGCTCTTTACTTCTTTCTCAGTATCCAGGAATCTTCAGGCTCATCCTCTGTGTCTTGTTGGCCCACATTTCTTGAGGCAGGTATGGAATTGTTCCAACGTCGGGAGTATAAGTTTAATTAAAACAGGTCTCACAAACTGATATAATTGGTTTCCTCACAGTTGGGTTATTCAGTGATTAAAAGACAGAGAGAAAGAAGCTTTTCATCTTATGCCTTTCTGTTAGTCTTGAATTTTGGAACATATATTACCTATTAAAAAAATAAACGACTAACATTTTGGTTTTGGCTTGTGCTTAAAGCAGGCCTCATAGTCTGGTCTAGACTGTCTGTTGGTCTTTTTATTTCAGTAGCCATTCATCTAGAACTTGGGGGGTTGAAAAGTTTCTCCTGGAACCATTTCTACTTCTATTTTTGGTACTACCAATATGTAGTCATCTGTAGTAAAATGTGATGACACTGCCAATTTACTTCCATTTTTGTTTTAAATTCCTCACATTCAGTCAGTCACTACAACATGGGCCTTTTAACCCCCCTATTTCAACTACTACCTTCATAGTTTTAGATTCTTACTACTTCACATCTTGACCAGTGTTAAAAATCCCCTGACGTGACTTTCAAACTCTACCTTATTACCAAGTTAACAATCCTAAAATTTTGTTCTACTATCATTCTGCTGCTCAAAAACCTCCAGTTATGCTGGGCACTATTTGTAGTCCCAGGTACTCAGGAGGCTGATTCTCTCATAGGTGAGAGGATCACATGAGCCCAGGGGTTCAAGTCCAGACTGGGCAACATAGCAAGACCTCATGTCTCTTAAAAAAATAAATAAATAGACTAGGCATGATGCCTTACACCTGTAATCCTAGCTCTCTGGGAGGCTCAGGTAGGTGGATTGCTTGAGCTCAGAAGTTCAAGGCCAGCCTGAGCAAGAGCAAGACCCTGTCTCTAGTAAAAATGGAAAATCTAGCTGGACATTGTGATGAGCTACTCAGTAGGCTGGGGCAAGAAGATCACTTGAGCCCAAGAGTTTGAGATTGCTGTGAGCTATGACATCATGGCACTCTACCAAGGATGACAAAGTGAGAGTCTGTCTCAAAAAAACAAATAAAATAAAAGTACATTAAATATAAGTACATTCTGTATATATATATTTTTAAAAAGTCCTTCAGTTACAACTCAATGCCAACCAAATAAAGTTAAACCACCCTAACTTGGCTTTAAGACTTTGAGATACAGCCCAACCCTACCTTATTCACCTTCACTCCTTTTCTATTATATATGCTGATTCATATTAAACAGTTTACAGTTTCCCAAACATAGCCTTCACTTTTTAACTTCTTGAATTCATTTGATAAGTATCTATTAGACATCTGCTATATTACTGTGTGCTAGGCACCGTTCTAAGTCCAAGGGGTACACAGGTGAAAAACAAAGGCAAGTTCCCTCCCTTCCTCTCCTTTCCGGGAGAAATCAGCCATCCTAGATGCCCTCTTTCCACTGTTGAAATTCTATCCATCTATAAGGTACAGCTGAAATCCTGTTTTTCTAAAGACTGTGGTGACTCCCCTGGGTCCAGATTTACTCTTCTCTGAATTTCCCATGATTTGTCTGGTGTTCCTTTCTTTTGGGGGGGGGACTTCTCACATTCTGCTTTATGGTTTTTTTTTTTTTTAAGATTTCTGAGCAACTTGAAGGCAAAGACTATATTTTTTTATTTTTATATTCTCCACAATGCTTAGCATAGTTCTTTATTTATAATAAAAGTTAAATATTTGTTCTTTGCAAGAATAAGCAAATGAACCTGGATCCAGAGTTGCCCCAGGAGTCTGTTATAAGAATTTACCTGTTCACAATGTTCCCTTCCTGAGTTCTAGTATATCATGGCTAAATTTTACTGATGTCTATGTAGCTATTATCATCTATTTATTTAAATCTATAGCATTTAAACTTTGTAACAGGCTTCTGGGAAAATGTTACATGGTATGCACCCATAAAATTTAATGTAATATTCTAATTGATTCGTTTTAATACAACATAATTGTAACAGTTTAATTAGTTCAAGCACCAATTATTCTAACATAGATAAGCTTTTTAAATTTACTTTAACACTGTGTTCCTTTCCTAGGAAAAGTACAATAATAATAACCTGTGTATAGCACTTTTATCTGTCTATGGTTTATAGAAGTTATTTTGATCTCTAAACAGACCTATAGAATATAGAGGGTAGGTGTTATCCCTATTTTAATATAATGAAACTAAGGTACAGAGAAGTTGCATAATTTACATGTGGTCATGTAGCTATTTAATGAAAAAGTACAGGATTAATTAATCTTATAAGCATGATAATTCTGTATTTGTCATTACCTGAACTAATTGTACATTTTCTTTTCCTAGTGAAAGAAATGATGTTCTAAGGGAAGCTGAAATTTTACACAAAGCCAGATTTAGTTACATTCTTCCAATTTTGGGAATTTGCAATGAGCCTGAATTTCTGGGAATAGTTACTGAATACATGCCAAATGGATCATTAAATGAACTCCTACATAGGGTAAGTATGACACAGTTTGAGTGACTATAATTACCGTTTCTGTTATTCAGACTGTATAGTACTTTGGTTTCATAGTTGATAAGCTTATTTGAGGGTACATAAGTGAATCAAAGTGAGAGTAATAAAAATCAGTCACGGGGTAAAATTTTACCTTTTATGGCTTTTTTATGTTAGTAAAAATACTAGAGCGTCAGCCCCATATTCTTTTTTTTTTTTTTTCCTGCCACCTCCGGCATATGGGGCCGGCACCCTACTCCTTGAGCCACAGGCACCACCCCAGGCCCCATATTCTAAGGGACCTAGATTATTTTGCTTGGGTTACTGTTCCTGACATTGATGCTCAATTACAGTATCCATATGGGGATTATGTAGGTAGGAATGGAAAAAAGAAAAGGCAAACTTTACACATTATACAACTGACTATTTATTTTGTACATTTAAAAAATTATTTACATGGAGCGATTTGTGGATTTGCGTGTCATCCTTGCTCAGGGGCCGTGCTAATCCTGTCCACTGTTGCAGTTTTAGTACATGTGCAGCCCAAACTGAGCACTTATTTCACATGGATAACAATTTAGGATTCAAATTTAATGTTTCTAATACCAGTTCATGAAGTTTTAAATTAGCAGGCCAAATTAATTGTCTGTGAGTACCAAATGCATTAGCTTTTCTAATAACAGACAGTAGCATAATAAGCCAATCACTCTTTTCTCAACCAGCAACTGTGGCTTTGATTGTGAAGTCCATCAGTAAGCAAAGTCAGGAGCTCTCCTTCTCAATATACGTGTACTATCTTATTGTTGTTTGCGTGAGTTACATTACTAATATGTATATTATCCCTAATCTGCAGTTTCTCTCAGGAAATATTTTTATAAACTACTTGATACATTTTGTAAGGTTAATTTAGTTAAAACTGAGTGATCATCTGAATATCCAATTAGTGAACAGTCTTAAATAATAATACATAATGGTGCTCTCTGAGTGACTGGAGGAAAGTGGTTGTCACTGTCAGCCAGTCATGGAGTAACTTCCCCTTTGTTTCAGAATCCGTTACCTTCTTCTACTCATGACTTGTGACCACCTGAAAAAGGGGTGGTCACAGGAACTGGCGTCAGTCTGTAAGATTTGTGTAACCACTACAGTAATCAAGATACAAATATTAATAAAGTACCTTTATTTTATTTTATTTTATTGCAGTTTTTGGCTGGGGCTGGGTTTGAACCGGCCACCTCTGGCATATGGGGCCGATGCCCTACTCCTTTGAGCCACAGGTGCTGGCCCTACTCTTTTTTATTTTTTTGAGAAACTAATATAAGTGGAAATCTAATATTTTATTCCCCCACCTCTGTAGATAATCTGGCACCCAATTAGAGTCCACTGGAAATTCTACAGCCTTCCCCAGAGGGGTTGCTATCTCCTGGAAGAAATCGTACAATAGGCAGTGAGCACTCCTCTAGAACACAAGCTGCTGTATAACACTCCGTGCTACAAAGAGAGACCTGGTTACTACTTTAAACTGCATAGTTTAGAAAAAGCTACATTTTCTATAGATTACAAGATTCAGTTTCTCTAGGGGAATGCTATCTGTATACATCCAAGGAAGTTATGTTCCACATTAATCTTTTGTGTTACATTTGGTTTCTAAGTTGTGTTATTTAGAGTGGGCTGATTTATCTGGAAGCATCCTCCCCCAACTTGGCGAAATTGATTGAAAAAAATTTAAAAACAAACAATCTAAAATATTGAGCCACTCCCTTGCCAGGATGATCACTGAACTATAAGCTGACCCATTTATAGAAAACTTTGCGTAGCATTCAGAAAAATGTACCCGGCACATTGTGCCTGGTGATTCATTGTCAATCTTTTAAAATTGTCTTGATCTTTCTGAGTCTGTTCATTCTCCCGGGAAGCTACATTAAAACATTTATTTTAAGAAAGTCCAGATGGATATAAATTATAAGTACCAGGAAATATAAAATACCATGTTGTAAATGTGGCTTATTATATAGGTTTAGAGACAAAAATGACTAAAACTTAGAATGGGGAGGTAAATAGGAATATAGATGTTTGTGTCTGGCTATCTGCAGATGCAGAATAATTGATATCTGTGTCAGTTGAAGAAAAAAGACCCAATAGCTTGTAGTTGCATGAATAACATAAAATGAAATGAAGTATTGGTACTGTAATGTTATCGTTTTCTCCATAGAGTCAGGACAGTAAGATGTAAGAATGTTAACCAATATGAAAGTAATGCTGTTATGAAAATGCACACATATGTTTTAACTTTATGCATATTTCCTTGTGGAATGTTTAATTGTCTAAGTGAAAATTGGGCTACTTTTCTTTTTTTTTTTTAATATGCATAAAGAAAACTGAATATCCTGACGTTGCTTGGCCGTTGAGGTTTCGCATCCTGCACGAAATTGCACTTGGAGTAAATTACCTACACAACATGAATCCTCCTTTACTTCATCATGACTTGAAGACTCAGAATATCTTATTGGATAATGAATTTCATGTTAAGGTAATTATAATAAAAAAGCTTATCTGTATCCTCACACTGAATGATTTTGAAAAGACTGTTTAGTTATTTCTTCTACCTAGCCAGTCTAAGACCACTCCCTTTTCTGTAAGCCCCTGTTTCCTGTCCTCAGTCCCCCTTCCTGTGCAGTGACTTAGTTGTTCCTAGACAAAGATAGAGTATGGTACAGAACACAGAGATACTGTGTTTCTTAATCAATTGCCAAGATTACCTTTTTTTTCCCCTTTACTTTTTATTTCAAACTTATCAATTCACAGGAAGTTGCAAAGATAATAAATACAGAGAAGTTCCATGCATCCTTCACTTACTTTACCCCATGGTTACATGACACGTAATTATAGCACAATTTCAATGCTAGGAATTTGACATTGGTATGTATAAAGGTTGTAGGGAATTGTGTGTCACTTTACTACATGTGTAGATTTGTGTAACCATCACAGCAATCCAGGTACTGTACTGTTCCATACCACGAAGACATCACTCAGGCCACCTGCCTCTTTGGGGTTGTCACACTCACCTTCTCCCTTCTACCATTCCTTATCTTAAGAACCATTAACCTCTTCTCCATTTCTGTAATTTTCTCATTTTGAGAATACTATATAAATGGAATCATATAATACATGGTATTTTGAGACTAGCTTTGTTCACTTCACATAATGCCCTTGAGCTCCATCTTAAGTGGTTGCTTGTATCAATGGTTGGTTTTTATTAATAAATAGTATTCCATGGTATGGGTGTACAACAGTTACGTAAACATTCACTTATGGAAGAACATTTTGGTTCTTTTCAATTTTTGGCAATTATAATAAAAGTGCTGTGAACAATTCTATGTAGCTTTATAAGTAAACACAAGTCTTCATTCCTTTGGGATAAATCAGTGCCCCAAAGTACAACTGCTGATTTATGTGGTAAGGGTGTGTTTAGTTTTTTAAGAAACTATCCAACTATTTTCCAGAGTGGCTGGCCCATTTTACTTTCCACCAGCAATTTATGAGAGATGCAGCTTTTCTGCATCCTCACCAGCATTTGGTATTATCACTGTTTTTTATTTAGCTGTTATAATGCTTACATAGCAATGTCTCATCATAGTCTTCATTTGCATTTTCCTGAAAGCTAATGATGTTGAATACCTTTTCATATTCTAATTTACCATCCATTCTTTTTGATGAAATGTTTCCATGTCATAAGCCCATTTTCTAATTGGATTCTTTGGGGTTTTACTGTAGTGTTATGCGAATTCTATATTAATTGAAGCATGAGTCCTTCATCAGATATGTAGTTTGCAAACATATCCTCCTAGTTTGTAGTTTTGTCTTTTCATCCTTTTAACAATGGCTTTCACAGAGGAAAAGTTTAAATTCTGATGAAATCCAGTTTATTAGGGTTTTTTTTTACTTTTGTGGCTCATGCCTTTGCTGTCACATCTAAGCCCTCTTCACCAAGCTTTAGGTACTGAAGATTTTCTTCTATATTATCTTCTAAAAATTTTATAGTTTTATGTTATACGTTTAAATCTATGATTCATTTTAAATTAATTTCTGTATTAAGATACAAGACTTAAGTGCTGAGGACAACAGATCTGCCAGTGACTGCAAAGTTGCCCTCTGATGACAGTAAATAAAAAGTAGTTGCTCAGGAATTAACACTAAACATAATTCACTATGTTTTTATGTATTATTTTGCTATGCATCTTATAATACAGATCAGATTATTATGAATATTAAAAATGATCAAAGAAATAAATAATGGAGAAAAAACAGAAAAGTTAAAACAAAAATGTGAGAAAAAGTTAAGCGAAAAAATAAATCTTCATTGAAGATACTTGCTTTCCCTAGAATAAAATGGTAGGGGAAGGCAAGGAGAAGCAAGCTTCCACCTCAAGATTGCTAACAAAAAAAAAAAAGAGAGGGCGGTACCTGTGGCTCAAAGGAGTAGGGCACCGGCCTCATATGCTGGAGGTGGCAGGTTTAAGCCCAGCCCCAGCCAAAAAAAAAAAAGAGGGGGGGGGAACTAATCTGTGGTATTAGTTATAGAACCATCAGGTACATGTACTTTAATGGTCAGCTTGTCCTCTGAGTCTTCGCTGCAACAGTCCTTATCTTCAAAGGCGGTTATCCTGTGACAGGAATCTTAACATTCTTACTTAAATGTAAAGAGGCTAAGATTTTTCTTGGCTGCTTCCACTTGTTGGTCCTAGTTCAACTTCTGTGACAGACTGAGTAAAAGACAATTCTACTTCCATAGCACAGCCCTTCAAATATTTGTAGACAGTTTTTCTCTCCCACCTCTCAGACACTCTTGCGTTTTGTCCTTTTCCCTACTAAATACTCGTAATCCCTGATGTTATGTAGATGCATGTTTGTTTAAATTTCTCTTAACTTTCAATCCTCAGAACTGATCAAAATACTACTCTTGGTGTAGTCTGATGAGTATAGAAATGAATGATACTTGGCCCCAAATTCTCATGAGTTCCTTAATAATCCATCAGCCTTCAGAGGCAGTTCTATATATCACACCATTTAAACTGTCCTTAACAAAAACTTTGAGAGGTTCTCCTTTTCAGGCACTTTACAGAGTACTTTCTGGATATCATCAGATTTTATCTTGTTAGCTTGGAGCAATGAGTTTAGCCTCTTAAGAACTTTTTGGACATTGTTTCTGTAGTCCGATTGGTTTTAAGTTTTCTTCCAGCTTCATCCTCAAATTTAATTAGGTAGTTTTTTCTAAGTTTAAGTCGTGGTTAGGTATTAACTAGTACAGAGCTCAGATCTTATCTGTCCAACATGACCCTGAGAGCCTCCCTCCAGGTCAGTATCGATTCTTCTGTTAATCAGCACTTTTGGAGACTTCTGATTCGCTTTGTTTAGAATACTCCTAAAAGTGATATCATACAGCCCACATTTTTCTATTCTGTCATAGGAATATTATGAACGTCTTAGCTTACCTGCTTTTCCCAGATATTCTCATGGTTTACTCAATCACCTTCCTTACCCTCGTTATCAAAGTGGCCTTCCTATACGCACCCACCTACTTCCTCTCTATTCGTTTTCCTTGTTTATGCTTTTCCACTGTATTTTTTACCACTTGACATACTATTTTTTATTAACATATTTATTTATTCCATCTCTCACAATGAGAATGTCAGCCCCACGATGACAGAAGTTTGGTCTTTTGTTAACTGCCATGTGCCCAGTGCATGCCATATAGAAGCATTCAATAATGATTACTTGAATGAACAAATTAGCGAATTCCTGATTTTCTCTATACACAAGATAGGCTTCATAACTTATAAGTGACAGTGTTATTAATACTATTCAAGTGCATCAAAAATATTTTATAATACACAAACCATTTTTTTATTTACTCTCTGACAGTAGTAATACTGTTAAAAAAGAAAATGAAACTAGTCATTCTTTGCTCATTAAATATTTGTGGAGCAGCTACTGTGTGCCAGGCATTGTGCCAGACCCTTGGGGTAGATCACGTGAGGTCTGAAATGGACCACTGATCTAATATATTTTTCATGAATTTTTACTAGCGCTCTCATTTTCTAATCCCTTACAGATTATCCCTTTTGTAAACTGTTCTAAATTGTTTTAAACTAGGTGCTATGGGTTGAATGTGTCCCCTTCAAAATTTAGGTGTTACCAGTGTGATCATTTAAGAGGTGGGCCTTTAAAAGATGATTGGGCCATGAGGACTTTTCTCTCCCTCGTGATTGAGATTAAGGCCCTTAAAAAAAAAAAAGGGTTTGTCCAGCCTCTGGCTAGCTTGCCTGCCTGCCTCCTGCCACATGGAGGCATAGCAAGAAGGCCCTCACCAGACCAAATATTTGTGGTTTGATTTTTCACATCCCGGCTTCTGGAGCTGTGAGAAACCAAGTTCTGTTAGTTATAAATGACCTCATCTGTGGTGTTCTGTTACAACAACACAAATGGCCTGAGAATAGAAATTGGTACCAGAGAAGTAGAGTGTGATTATAACAACTACCTAAAAATGTAGGCGCAGCTTTGAAACTGGGTAACAGGTAGAAACTGAAACCGTTTTTAAGTAAATGCCAGAAAAAGACTAGATGGCCATGAATGGGGCATTAAGGACGATGCTAGTGAGAGTGGGGAGAAGAAAGATGAGACGCCGGAGAAGAAAGAGCCGTAGAGAAAGCCACATTCTTCTTGGAGATTACTGGAGTGGTCAGGAGCAGAATGTCGGTAGAATATGAACAATGTAGGCTGTTCCGTCACAGATGGAAAGGAGAGACAAGGTGTTGGGAACTGAATAAAAGGATATCCTTGCTGTAAAGTGACCAAGAACTCGGTTGATTTATGCCTGTGCTGCAGGACTCTGGAAGACAGAACTTAAGAGTGATCAACTAAACTATTTAGCAGAAGAAATCTCCAAGCAGCAAAGTGTTCAGGACGCTGTGTAGTTTAGTAACATGCCCAAAGGGAAGAGTGGTTTATTGACGTTTAGAATCAAGTTGGAAGCAGAGTAGGGATTTGCATATTTCTCAGCCTGGCCATATAAAGAATTAAAAATCATTTTTAGGAGAGAAAACCAAATGTGTAGCCAAGCAACTGTTTGATGACGGAATTAGTAGGGACCGAGGAAGCCAAGGGCCACTCATCAGGAGTTTGGGAGAATGATCCCAAAGGCATTTCAGAAATCTTCAAGTCATCACAGGCACAGAGTGGCAGGGCCTTGGGAGCAGTAGGGTTTTGGGAAGAGAATGCTGCAGTGTGAATGTGTCCCGTCCAAAATTCAGGTGTTGCCAATGTGATTCTTCTATTAAGAGGTGAGGCCTTTACAGAATTGATTAGGCTAGGAAGGCTCCTCCCTCTTAAAAGAGATTTATTTAGTTCCTTAAAGAAAAGAGATTTCATGCCCATCGCCCCACGAATGGATCAATAAATTGTGGTACATGTACACCATGGAATACTATGCAGCCCTAAAGAAAGATGGAGACTTTACCTCCTTCATGTTTATATGGATGGAATTAAAAAATGTTCTTCTCAGCAAAGTATCTCAAGAATGGAAGAAAAAGTATCCAGTGTACACAGCCCTATTTTGAAACTAATTCATAGCTTTTATAGGAATGTCATAACCTAATTATAGCCTATTATGGGAAGGGGGTGGAAGAGGAAAAGCGAGGGGGGTGGACGGGCAGAGGGAGGGTGATTGGTGGGGTCACCTCTATGGTTTATCTTACAAGGGTACAAGTGAATCTTTCTAAAAGCAGAGTGTGAATGTCTTAACTCAATAACTAAGAGAATGACATGAAGGTTATATTAACCAGTTTGATGAGAGTACTTCAAAATGTATATGAAAACAGCACACTGTGCCCCATGATTGCATTAATGTACATAGTTATGCTATAAGAAATAAAAAGAAAAGAAAAGAGATTTCACATAGTGTTGGACTAAGACACCAGGGTTTAAGGATGGTCTCCTACTGTACGTAGATTTGCAAAACCAACATATTTTTCCTTTTAAAAATCAAACTGACTTTAGTTTTCTGATATACTGTAGTACCCCTCCATTTTGTCCCACAAAGAACACTAATACCTGTGAAGGTATTTGCAAGTTCTCTCACTAACTTAAAATATAAGATACTTGCATTTTATAAGCTTTCAAACTCCTTGGACTTTCCTTTCTTCATCTCAGAGCAGGAGACGATCATAGTTCACTGTAATCTTGACTCCTGGGCTCAAGCACTCCTCCTGAGTAGCTGGGACTAAAGGTGCACGGCCACACCTGGCTAATTTTTATTTTGTTTATTCATTCATTCATTTATTCATTCATTTATTTTGGTAAAGATGAAGTCTAGCAATGTTGCACAGGCTGGTCACCCCAAAATGCCAGGATTATAGGCATGAGTCACCAACCCCAGTGGCAGAAACTATTCTCAATAGAGAAAAATCAGAAACAAAGTAATAGTTGTTGACCCCTACTTTCTCTTTTTCCTCTGTCAACAGGAAATGCTTTTTCTCTATGAATAGAACTTAAAATATTCTTGACTTTGTGTATTTTTTTCTTAGACTTACTCTTTTATTATAGTAAACATGTGAAGATTCACTTATTTCCTCCTTTTTGGGGATGGGGGCCATAACATTTTTTATCTTCAATTCATCTAAATGCTAATAAACATTTTTTCTGTTAAAATTAGTAAAAATGTAAGACTTAAATAATTGACTCAAAATGATATGCTACATGGAGTTCATTCGGTTCTGTTGAATTCTTAAGTATACAGTATACTCTTCTAAGTAATTTAAGTTTCTTTAAATAGTTCCCATACTCCCTTTGTTCACTAAATATTGTTTTTGTTCTTACATTTTGTCTTTCATTTTTAAAAAAATAAAGAACCTCTTAAATATTTAAAGGGTTTCAAGATATTATATAATGTCTGCACAGATATACAATTGAAGCAAAACTGTAAGAGACAGATCAGAAATATGAAATATGTTACTGTTAATTTTTTAAGCACCATTGTAATGGACATAAACATTCCTTACATACTAACTATACTATTGCTACTGGATTACTGTTTTTAGCAATGGGCATGAGTTATATAATGTTGACCTTTACTATGGAGATTTTGCTTATTACAGAATTTGAAGATGCTATGTTTAAGGTATTATGAATAAGACCATATAAACCTGAGCTGTAAACAATGACCAATGACAATTATGTGAGATAAATAGACTTCTCAGTTTTGGGAGCAGGTGAATTTGGAAAGGATATACTAGAAAGCCACTTGTCATAAAATGTAAGGTATTCAGTATATACACTTATCTAAAAATCAGGCAAAAAAGTACTTGTCTTTAATTTTTCAAAACATAGTCTCTCTTTTGAAATTTGTGATGGGCCAGGTTACCAGCCTGGGCAATGTAACAAGACCCTGTCTCTACAAAAAATAAAAACATTAGCCAAACATAATGATCCATTCCTATAATCCCAGCTGCTCAGGAGGCTGATTTAGGAGGATAGCTTAAGCCCAGTGTCCCAGCCTGGCCAACAGAGTGAGACCCTGTCTGTATAAAAAAGTATAAAAAAACAAGAAAAGAAATTCTTTATGTTGTGCTTAACTTTAAGTATGTATCGCATCTAGAGTTGTTCGGCTCACCAGTATGGAATTTAATTTTGTAAGAAACTGTAGAATATATAGAAATAAAATATTAATACATGTAACATTTCCTCTGATAAACAATCTAATACTTAATACAATCTAATACAATCTAATACAATGAATATTCATAAAGACAGTCAATTCTTAGAGTTTGTAAAGAGAGAACTTTTGAATTCAATTACACTCTTTTCCCTTGCAGATCGCAGATTTTGGTTTATCAAAATGGCGCCTGATGTCCCTCTCTCAATCACGAAGTAGCAAATCTGCCCCAGAAGGAGGGACAATTATATACATGCCACCCGAAAACTATGAACCTGGACAAAAGTCAAGGGCCAGTGTCAAGCATGATATCTACAGGTACAGTAAAGTCACTTTTGCTCAGGGTTGACTTTGAAGCTACATTTTAAAGTATGATTTTTATTCTTTCATAACTGTGGTAAAAATAAACTACAGAAGCCACAGTGATTAATGTGTTTCAAATTAAAAATACCTTGCTTTAAGCAACCTCTGCATTTTTAAAAAACATTTAGGCTAGGTGTGGTAGCTCACACCTGTAATCCTACCACTTTGTTTGGAAGGCTAAAGGGGAAGATTGCTTGAGGCCAGGAGTTCAACACTAGCCTGAACAAGAGCAAGACCCCATCTCTACAAAAAAAAAAAAAAAAAAAATAAGCCAGACATGGTGACACGTGCCTGTGGTCCCAACTCTTCAAGAAGCTGAAGTAGGAAGATTTGCAGTGAGCTATGATGACACCACTGCACTGTAGCCCGGACAACAGAACAAGTTGTCTGTAAAAAAAAGAAAAAGACTTTTAAAGCATACCTTCTTGTTGTATCAATTTATAACATAATACTTAAAAGATTTGATCATATATATTTACTTGTAATCTCATAATGCAGTAACAAACATAATACGTTGTTTCTGATTGACATTATTTGGCCAGAAGAAAGGAAGATGATAATTTGCAATGCATAGGACTAGGGATTTGGAGGATTCACCTCATTCCTGACTTACATTTGTCTCTTCATAACAATGAATGCAAAATCAGACCTACTAAATTTACTATGAACACATTTTATAGCCCTTTAAAATAGCTTTTTGCTATCTTTAGTAAATTAACCTGGTAAAAATGCATCATCTTAGAAATGAAGGCTATATATCTCTACCAGAAAATTATATATTCAAATTACGTATCTCTCTCCTCCAAGAAGATTTTAATTTTTGTTACTTCTCATTAAATCCAATGTCAGCTGATTCATGTTAGTGGCTGTACCTGCCCAGTGTGGTGTTTTTTACATTCCCATTATTGTCTGAATAAATGTCTTTTATATATTCTGTTTGCTGATATTCTTAGTTCATTTTGAATTATATGTTGCGGGAGGGGGGAAAATATATCTTCTAAGGTAAAGAGCATGTTCTAGTCAACAATTCTTGAAAACCGGTTTGTTTCTATAAAAGCAGACCAATTTAAATCTATCATTTATTTTGTGAATTATGCCCTTATGTTCAATGTCAGTGTTCCTGGTCAGGGAAAAAGAAAATATTCTTTTATTTGGGTAGGAATTCCCTCTGTAGTCTTCTCTCTCCCACTAAGACAATGTGTTGGTACCTAATCAATTCCGTGAGTCCGTTTTGAATGCAGAGTTAATTTGATGATGTAGTAAAAGTCCAGTGCACATATCCTATTTAATCATTTATCTTAAACATAAATCTGTGCAACTTGAGTAAGTGATTGAGTACTGAAGTTAAATTGTGAAGAGAATATTTTTACCACCTGAGAAGACTGTACTGAGACCAGAAAGAGTCAATTAAATAGAGCCATGATTGCTCTTTATTTTATATGAAAAATAATAACCAGGTAATTAGAGGATGTGACTTATCGGGATGTTCAAGAATGAAACCCAGTGTTAAATCATCCACAAAAAAGTTTTCCTTGTATGTAACTTTAAGCTTTTATTAGAGTAATTTCTTAGTTCTTCAAATTAACTTTAGTATTTTTCTTCAAGATAAAACTTTATATGAGCATCCACCATCTTGGCTATATAAGCGATTCTTTCTATAGCATTTCACTACCTTATTAATTACAGAAATGGTATCCTAGTTCATAGTACTCTTTTTAATTTATTATGCGGAGTTAATTTGTAATGTGTAACGTGTATGTTTTCATCTTAAACAGCTATGCAGTTATCATGTGGGAAGTGTTATCCAGAAAACAGCCTTTTGAAGGTAAATAAGCTTGGATTTTCTTATAGTAGATAACATCATGTTGGTAGGCCATACTCAGAACTATCTGAAGCTCATCTTATTTTAAATATGCCTACCATCCATTTTATGAAAAACATGCAATGAAAATACCACTTATCAGCTGGGAATCCACTGTATACTAGAGAGCATACTGGATTAAGGATCAGAAAATTCTTCATTCTAATTCTTATTCTGACAGTAATTAGCTCTGTTGAGTTCTCATTTGTGTCATCTGCAGAATGAGAGGGATTTTTATTTGGGGGTTGGGAGGTTGTTTGTTTGGGATGTTTTGTTTTGTTTTTTGAAACAGGCTCTCTCTCTGTTGCCAGGACTAGACTTCTCTGACATCATCGTAGCTCACTGCAACCTCAAGCTCCTAGGCTCAGGTCATCTCCTGCCTCACCCCCTCCTCCCAAGTAGTTGTGACTACAGGTGCACACCACCACGCCTAGCTGATTTCTTAATTTTTGCAGAGACAGTGTCTCACTGTGTTGCTCAGGCTGGTCCCAAACTCCTGACCTCAAGCAATCTTTCTGCCTCAGCTTCTCAAAGTGCTAGGATTATAGGCATGAGCCACCTTGCACAGACAAAGTGAGAGTCTTGAATTAGTATCTCCCAAATTCCATTCTAGCTATGAAACTTTTTATATGAATATTTAATCACTGTTCATTCTGTAAAGACCAAAAACATTGAAGAATAATCTATTTTATTCTCTGGATTATTTTGAGATTTATATTGGTCAGCTTGTTGTATAACTAACAGCAACCTCAAAATCTCAGTAGCTTATGGAATAAACATCTGTTTCTTATTTACATTACATAGTAATTCTGTAGCCTTTCATCATTCTACTAGGTTTCACTTAGCTTTGCTCTACTCTTATTACATTGACCAAATCAAATTACACAGCCAAACCCTGAATTAATGAGATGAGAATGTAAAGTTCTCCTATAGAAGATAGACAAGTTTGGCAAAGTCTATACACACACACACACACATATATATATATACACACATATATATTCTTTTTACAGAAAGGGGGGTAATAAATTATTTCTTAAATTTTAAGATTCCCTGATTTTCTTTTGGTTAGTTTTAGAATATATTTAAGACACTAGATCACAATAAATTTCTAAGAAGTTAAATCTGTTTGTTTTGGCAGAAGTCACCAATCCTTTGCAGATTATGTATAGTGTGTCACAAGGACATCGACCTGACACCAGTGAAGAAAGTTTGCCATTTGATATACCTCATCGAACAACTATGATCTCTCTAATAGAAAGTGGATGGGCCCAAAATCCAGACGAAAGACCATCTTTCTTAAGTGAGTACACAATTTTAATCAGGACCTTTTGAATTATAGAAGTAGTTTGTATACCTTGAATAAAATATTCCTTGAAAAATAATGCAAATTTAATGACCAGCTCAAAGTAGTCGCTAAAATTTCCATTGAAGTGTAATTCGTATACTATAAAATTCATCTATTTTAAGTATGTTTATTGATTTTCGGTAATTTTACAGTTTCAAGCCAAGTGAACTTTTCAAGTTTCAAGCCATCACCATAATTCAATATTAAAACATTTCCACCAGCCTGAGCAACATAGCCAAGCCCTATCTCTATAAAAAATAGAAAAATTATTCAGGTATGGTGGCATGCACCTGTAATCCCAGCTACTCAGCAGAGTGAAGCAGGAAGATAGCTTGAGCCCAAGAGTTTGAGGTTGTACTGAGCTATGATGATGTCATGGCACTCTAGCCTGGGCAACAGAACAAGACCCTGTCTCAAAAAAAAAAAAAAAAAAAATTCATTTTTTCTATCACCCTAGAAAAATTCCTCATATCCATTTGTATTCACCACCTGTTCTCACCTGTAACTCCAGGCAACCACTAATCTGTTTTTCTCCCCATAGATTTGCCTTTTCTGAGCATTTCATATTAATGGAATGATAACAATGTATGGTACTTTGCATCAAGCTTGTTAGACCTGGCATCATATTTTTCAGGTTGTAGCATGAATCAGTAGTATGTTCAGTAGTTTACTGCTGAATAATATTCCATGATATAGATGTCGCACATTTTGTGGATCCATTGGCCAGTTGATAAACATTTTGATTGTTTCTACTTGTTGGGTATATGGATAATAATGCTGTAACTATCCATATACTAGTCTGTGCATGAATGTATTCTCATTTCTCTTGGGTAATTATCTGTGAGTAGAATTGCTGGGTGATATGACAAATTTAGCCTTTCATTTTTAAGAAACTGCCAGACAATTTTTCAAAATAGCTATATCATTGTACGTTCCACCAGAAATGTGTGAGGATTTCAGTATTTGCACATCACTGCCAACACTTGTTACTTTCTGTCTTTTTAATTAGTTATTTTAGTGAGTATGGAGTAGTAGCTCACTGCAGTTTTAGTATGCATTTCCCTATGATATTAGGCATCTCTTCATGTGCTTTCTAGCCATGTGTATATCTTCTTTAGTGAAATTCAGATCTTTTACTTGTTTTTTAATTTCATTGTTTATTCTATTATTGAGTTGTCAAGGCTCTTTACGTATTCTAGATACAAATCCCTTAGCAGATACCTGATTCAGAAATACATTCTCCTCGTCTGTGGCTTCTTTTTCATTTTTTCTCAATAGTGTTTTGAAGTGCAAAGGTTTTCTATATTTTTTTCATTCCACTTACCAATTTTTTAAGGATTTTGTTTTTGATGTCCTAAGAACTCTGCCTCGCCCAAGATCTTGAAGATTTTCTCCTTTATTTACATTTAAATGTAGGATCCCTTTTCACATTCATTTCTATGTATGATGTAACTGTATCTTATTTCCAAGTGGATATTCGACTCTTTTTGTATCATTTATTGAAAGACAATCCTTTCCCCTTTTGATTAGCTTAGCACCTTTGTTGAAAAGACGTTGACTGTAATTATAAAGGTTTATTTTTAGACTCTCAATCCTATTCCTTTGATCACCTTGTCTATCTTTATGTCAGTAACAAAGGCTATTTTGGAAGTTGAATATCATCAGTTTAAGGGAAAATTGACTTGGGGCCTTATCAGTTCAATATTAGTATTTCAGTTAAATGATTAGAAATAATATAAACCTAAATTGTATTTTCTTTCTTATTTAGAATGTTTAATAGAACTTGAACCTGTTTTGAGAACATTTGAAGAAATAACTTTTCTTGAAGCTGTTATTCAGCTAAAGAAAACAAAGGTAAATTGCCAAATGAAATGGAAATTAAAACTTCAAACAACTATGTATTAATTATGGAGGTGTTAGTTTTTAATTAAAATACTTTTCACAGATAGAGGCTGAAGTTTGGGGTAGGAGAGTTTACCAAAAAATACTACCTTACCTTTTCTTTGTTACCAAAGAGATTTTATTTTTATAAAAATAAAAATACTACCTTACCTTTTCTTTGTTACCAAAGAGATTTTATTTTATGCAAATGTCCACCTAACAATCTTGAAGACATTTCCAGTATTCTTATAATCCGATGCAAATTTCCTTTTTTTTTAGAGACAGAGTCTCACTTTGTCACGCTTGGTAGAGTGCTGTGGCATCACAGCTCGCAGCAACCTCCAGCTCTTGGGCTTAGTCAATTCTCTTGCCTCAGCCTCCCAAGTAGCTGGGACCACAGGCACCCTCCACAATGCCCAGCTTATTTTTTTGTTGTTGCAGTTTTGCTGGGGCCAAGTTTGAACCTGCCACGCTGGGTCTATGGGGCCGGCGCCCTATTCACTAAGCTACAGGCGCTGCCATGCATGAAGAAGGCCAGTTGTGTACAGTGAGAGCCCTGAAACACCGGAGATGTTTATTTTTTAATCTACATTTATTATCCTAAAAATTTAATACCTTTAAAGTAATAGAATTAGGATTCTATATTTAAGACTTAGTTTTAAGAACAAATTTGCGCTTTTTAAATAAAGTGTATATTTCCAGTCATCTTACTTCTGTTTAATAGTGGCATTGCTTTCTTCAGTGTTCAGTGTTATTTCCCTTTTCTTCTTCACTTCTTTTTTTATTGCCAGTTAAGCTGTCAAATTTTTATAACAACCGAGGCCAAAATGTGTACTTTTTCATTGTTTTTTTAAGTTTTCCCACTCAAACACTCCATGGGACGTAGACTAAAGTGGCAGTGGCATTTAACGCTGATATGAATTTCCTAGGACAGGTGTCATATTCACTCAGTCTGGCTCTTGTGGATCAAACAATTGAAAGAGCCTTTTAACTGTAGGACATTTTAATATTATCAAAAATTGTTTTGATATTATTACTAAAAAGCAGCTACAGTCCTTTCGGGCAAAGTAAGTATAGTTTAACCCTTGCTGGGGTTTATTACAATGTTCTTAACATGTGATGATAAAAAGTAGCAGTTTGCCAAATTCTTGGGGTGTGAACGAGCACGGTCTACGATTTACTCCTAAAAAACCCCGCTTGCCCCCATAGTTTGCGGTATCTGTTAATAGAACCTAAGGTTTAAAAGGGAAGTGCATAAAGCAGGAACTAGAGGAGTTTTGTTTTAGTTCTGATAACTTTTCATTCACTCTCTTAATGCTGGTGAGACACAGTCTTTTCCAGAGTATGCCAGGTTCTTAACTTCTTGATAGATACAGATTTCTGATAACATTTATTCTTCCTAATCTTCTTAGTTCCCTTTTTTCTCCTCGTAGCTTTCCCTTTTACTTCTTCCAAACAAAGGTGGAAAGAAGGGCCTGTTGTCTTGATTATTATGAAAAGGAAGAGAACCATTCCCGCTCCCTTTTTGTCCCCAAACAATTGAAACATTAGGATCCTATATTTAAGACTGTTCATTTAAGAAGAAATTTGCGCTTTTGAAATGAAGTGTGTATTTTCAGTCATTATAACGCTATTTAATAATAGCATTGCTTTCTTCAGTGTTCAGTGTTATTTCCCTTTTTTTGTCTTTTTTTAGATACAAAGTCTGGCGGCTATGTTATCCAGGCTGGCCTTGAATTCCCCAGCTCCAAGTGATTCTCCCGCCTCAGCCTCCAGAGTAGGTGGGATTGTGTAACAGGCACCACCACACTCAGCTACTTTCATCAGTATTTTTATTTTGCTGTTCTACTTTTACTTAGAGTTGTTGTAATTGTTTTTTCTTTTCTTTTTTGACATGAACCTTTGTGTCGATTCTGTGAAACTACAAGGGCAAGAATATCATCTCATTTTTTTATAGATAAGTGAGGTACAGGAGTTCTCATCCACTGGGATACAGTGCAAGACCCCCAGTAAATGTCTGAAACCACACAGATCGTACCAAACCCTGTATAGAGTATGTTTTTTCATACACACACACATAGACATATATATATACCTATAACAAACTAATTTGTAAGTTAGGCACAGTGAGAGATTAGCAGTAAGTAATAAAGTAGAACAATTATAACAATATGCAACATCACTGTTCATGCACTTCGAGTTCATCATTAAGTAAATTAAGGGTCACTTGAATGCAAGCAGTGCAATACGCAGTGTAACTGAGCCAGCTACCAAGTAACTAAGGAGCAGGTAGCACATACAGCACGGGGACACTGGACCGAGGGATGATTCACATCCTGGGTGGGACACAGCTAGACGCTATGGGATTTCATCATGCTGCTTACAACTGTGTGTAACCTAAACGTTATGAATTATCTGTGGAATTTTCCATTTAATATTTTCAGACCACAGTTGACTAAGGGTAACTGAAACTGCAAAAAGCGAAACCACGGAGAACGGGGGACAACTATAAAGGGAAGTTAGTGACTTATGCAACACACTTCACACAGCTAGCTCATGTCAGGACCAACTGTTTGTGCCCATAGTCCCAGACACTAGGGAGCTGAGGTAGGAGAATCACTTGAGCTCAGGACTTCCAGTACAGCCTAGGAAACATGGCAAGACCTCCCCTCTTTAAAAAAAATTCTTGGCTCGGCACCTGTGGCTCAAGTGGCTAAGGCGCCAGCCACATACACCTAAGGTGGCAGGTTCAAATCCAACCTGGGCCGCCAAACAACAGTGACGCTGCAACCAAAAAATGGCCAGGCGTTGTGGCGGGCGCCTGTAGTCCCAGCTACTTGGGAGGCTGAGGCAGGAGACTTGCTTGAGCCCAGGAGTTGGAGATTGCTGTGAGCTATGATGCCACAGCACTCTACCCAGGGGGACAGCTTGAGGCTCTGTCTCAAAAAAAAAAAAAATTCTTAAAACAAACATCATTATTATGGCGACCTCTTTTGTTTGAGTTTCCTACATTTTTTTAGTCCTTTTAAACTGGCTTCTGCAATTCAGGTTTTCATAGGTAAATGATTCCTCTATCTTGAATAGTAAAAACTAAACACAAATGATTTTTCCTTAATATTTATTTCATTTCTTTTTAGGGGCTGATTTAGTAGTTCATAAGTCATTTGAATTATGACTGATCATTTATGAAAAATAGTGTTACTGGGTAGCTCCTATGGCTCAAAGGAGTAGAGTGCCAGCCTCATATGCCAGAGGTGGCGGGTTCAAACCCAGCCCTGGCCAAAAACTGCAAACAACAAAAACAACAACAACAACAACAAAATAGTGTTACTAAGTCAAAGATTTTGCATTATCAGAAATGTTTTGATAAATTTTGTAAGAGTATTAAAAACCTTGCATAATAGAGACATAGCCAAAAACTAAAAATATCTGTAAATCCACCAATTTGGGAGGCCAAGGCAGGAGCATCACTTGAGACCAGGAATTTGAGACCAACTGGGCAACTTAGTGACACCTCAATCTCTACCAAAAAAAAAAAAAAAAAAAGTCAGATGTGGTGACTTAAACTATAGTCCTAGCTATTCAAAAGACTAAAGTGGGAGGATCACATGAGCCCAGAAGTTCAAGGCGGCAGTGGGCTATGATCACACTACAGTACTTCAGCCTAGGCAGCAGAGTAAGACTCTGTCTCTAAGAAAAAAAATTTGAAATATAAAAATTTAAAAATATTTATTAAACTATTATGTACAAAGTACTATGCTAGGTACATTATATACATAGTCTACATAGATGAATAGGAGTATCTTCCTCCTAAAGTTCCTTAGCCGTGTAATGGAGCAGATAGTCATAAATGTGAATAATGGAGGGCTTAGTGTGGAACCCACCAATCTCCAAAGCTCTAAGGGGTAGCTAGCATTACATTGGTCTGGGGGGAAAAAAGCAGACTGAAAAGGTTTGTTTTTAAATCACTTAGTAGTGATGGCAATTAATTCAAATTAATTCAAGTCTGATTTTATAGAAGTAAATCACTTAATAATTTTAATACAAAAGTATATTTAAATAAATCATCTGTTTAGCAGCTACTATTAAATACTTACCTTTTTGCAGTAATCCTGGAAAACAGATTTGGCGGGGGGGATGAAGTCTCACTGTGTTGACCTGGGTACAGTGTCATGGTGTTACAGCTCACAGCAACCTCAAACTCTTGGGCTCAGGCAATCCCCTTGCCTTAGACTCCTGAATAACTGGGACTACAGAAACCCACCACAATGCCTGGCTAGTTTTTCTATATTTAGTAGAGATGAGGTCTCTCTCTTGCTCAGGCTGGTCTTGAACCTGTGAACTCAGGCAATCCACGTCCCTCGGCCACCCAGAATGCTAAGATGCGAACCACTGTGCCCAGCCTGCAAAACATATTTTTAAATCTCATGCCCAAGGTAAATTAGGTATCCCAGGAATCTAAACCATGATTGGCTGCATGGCCCCACCATTCCAGTATGATGCACTACCTCTTTTACCTAGTCCTAGTATCAGCTTCTTATCTATAAAATGAAAATAATAACAGTACTTGAAAGAACAGTGCCTGAAATATAGTAAATGTTTAATAATTATAGACAGACATACATATACACACATATGCCCAAATTTATTATCTAGTTTGTACCAGATACTGTACATCAATAGTCTCAATGTCTAAAATAATTCTGCATATACAGGGTGCAATTTTATTTTTTATTTTTTTTTATTAAATCACAGCTGTGTACATTAATGAAGTCATGGAGTACAATGTGCTGGTTTTACATACAATTTGAAGTGCTTTCATGAAACTGGTTAACGTAGCTTTCATGGTATTTTCTTAGTTATTGTGTTAAGACATTTATATTCTACACCTAGTAAATTTCACATGTACCTTGTAAGATGCACTGTAGGTGTGGTCCCACCAATTACTCTCCCTCCACCGATCTTCCCCCCCCTCCTCCTCTCCCTTTCCCCTTTCCCCTTCTTCTTGGACTATAATTGGGTTATGGCCACCCTGTATTATTACATTTTAAAAGATAAAGCCTTGAAACTATAAGAGACCAATAATTTGCTGAAAGTCACCTATTAATATTAGGCAGGATTCAAAGCCTGTATCTCTGAAGTTATTTCTCCCATTCTACATGGTCTCTACCTATAAGTTATAAGTTATGTTTTCAACTCTCTGGATTTTCTTTCCATTGATTTTGTATAAACTTAAAAGCATGTTAAGTACATTGCATTTTACTTCTAATCACCTCCAATTAAAGTGCATGTCTGTATTCAGTTACAGAGTGCTTCAAGTGCTCCTCACCCATGTGATAAGAAGAAAATGGAATTATCTCTGAACATACCTGTAACTCATGATCCACAAGAGGTAAAAAAGACATGTTGCACTCAGAATATGGGAAAAATATGGAAATCACTCCATCTAACTCCCTGTCTTATAAATTGGAAACTAAAGCCCATAGATTTTTTAGGATTTGTGTGGTAGCTCATGGCAATCTACAACTGGAAACCCAGCTCTTCTATTCTCAATTCATTGTTCATCCCATCAACTCACAATTTTTGCTTCTTTGTCACTGAGTTCTGTCCCTGGCATTGTTTTATACAAGGAATGGCATCCCAGTTTAACACATAGGCAAATCAGTGATTACAGTTTTACCACTGTATTTATGCCTCTTGGTTCTTACCTTTTACAGTAATTAATAAGAAAAAAGACAGTTGTGTTACCATCAAAGAAGAAAGATTTCTTTAGCTGTATTCATTGAGACTTACTTCATATTAGTCATTTTCAAAAGAATCAATACATTCAGGCCCAGTGTGGTGTCTCACATCTATAATCCCAACGCTTTCGGAGGCCAAGATGGAAGGATCATTTGAGGCCAGGAGTTCAAGACCAGCCTGGGCAACAGGGTGAGACCTGGTATCCATAGAAAAAAAAAAAAAAAAAATTACCTGGGTATGCTGGCACATGCCTATAGTCCTAGCTATTTGGGAAGCTAAGGCAAAAGGATCACTTGAGCCTGGGGGTGGAGGTTACAGTGAGCCCTGGTCACCCCACCACATTCCAGCCTTGTCAACAGAGTGAGACCTTGTCTCATCAAAACAAAACAAACGAAAGTATACGTGTGTATGTAAACTCCATAGATTCAAAAAAATAATGCAGGTTGAGATTCCTGATCCATACGTTGGAAATTCAGGAGGCTCCAAAATCCAAAGTTTTTTGAAAACCAACATGATGTCATATGTGGAAAATTTTTAACCTGGCTTAATCTGTTTTGTGTTGCTATAACAGAATACTCAAGCCTGGGTAATTTACTACATGTAAGAGGTTTATTGGCTCACGGTTCTGCTGACTGGAACGTCCAGGATTGGACAGCTAGATGCAGTGCAGGCTTCAGGCTCCTCCCTCTCATGCAGGAGATGGATGGGGGAGCAGGCTGTGCAGAGAGATCAGGTGACAAGACAGGGTGCAAGGGGGCTGGGCTCCTTAACAAGCCTGTCTTGGGAATCCCCTCACCATTCCTCGAATTTCACCATGCCATTCATTGGGATCCTCCCCCTGTGACCCACACACCTCCCATAGGCCCCACTTCCCAGCCCCACTGCATTGTAGATGAGATTTCAGCATGAGTTTTGGACAAACCATAGCAACACCTGACCTTACGTGATGAGTCACAGTCAATACTTTGTTTCAAGCACAAAATTATTTTAAAATATTACATAAAGTTACCTTTAGGCTTTGTGAATAAGGTATATATGAAACATGAATGAATTTTGTGTTTAGATTTGGATTGCATCCCCAAGATATCTCATTATGTATATGCAGATATTCTGAATTTGAAAAAAATCTGAAATCTGGAATACTTCTTATCCCAAACATTTCAGCTAAGGGATACGAAATCTGTAATACCTTCAAAATGAATCTTAAAACACAATACATAGTTTTTCAATCACCTTGACATACATTTGAGGCCAGGAGTTCCAGACTAGCCTGGACAGCTCAGTAAGAACATCATGTCTGCCAAAATAAAAAAAAGCCGGGCACGGTGTCCTATGCCTGTAGTCATTTGATCCTTGAGTCCATTCTTGCAGTTTTAGACAGTACACATATTATAGACAGCCTGAGAGCCAGGGAGCTAGAAGTGGACTCAAAATTCTCCATTACTTTTTTAATGGTATTCCACCCCTCCCTGTTAAAAGGAATTTTATGTGCTTTGAAAAGGCATTTCTAAATCTGTAGGTGACTAGAGTTGCAGACATAAAATGTATCATCCACTATTCTGTCCTCTGGCCAGATCCTTGGAGTTCATGTGGAAAATACAGAAAAAAATAATTATTTTCAGTGTTCCATTTTTGCCCCATTTCTGCCATTTAAGTTGATTAAGAAATTAAGTTTATCTTTGTTGGCTATTTTTTAGATGCATGTGTTTCTTTAATTTCGTGAAGTATAATTTTTAGTAGTTTTGATTATTTATAATAAGACACAAGCAAGAACTGTTCAGAAATTAAAGCTATGTAACTTTAAAAACGGTTTTTTATTAGCCTAAACCCTTTACCTTCTATGTGCTTTAGGAATCGTGTGGATCCTCTCAGCTCCACAAACATAGTGGTTCTCCTGGAACCTCCAGGTCCCTGTCAGCTCCTCAAGACAATGACTTTCTACCTAGTACGTAAATTTTCCCATCGGTATTGACTGGCAGGTTTTCCATTTTCTTTCAAGAGCATATCCTTGGCAAACAGTCATGGTTTATATAGAACGTTTCTTTCATTCGCATTTGTAACTCATTGTTTAAGAAGTGACATGAGCTGAAGATATGAAATAGTAGTGGGATGTACAACAAATACATATAAATATTACAGGTATTTACGTTAGATGCTTTGGAAAGACATGAAAAAAGCAACCCCTATTGTAAGTAAGAGGAGTAGTGTTTCTAAGTAACCCTACTGAAAGAGAAAGTGATGTCAAATAGCTCTGCACCTAGAACTGGGGTTGAACAGTGGAAGTTGCAAAGTACTTTCACGACAACCTGTGAGGGGAGATAGTCCTCCTCTTATAGATTGAAGACTCTCTGGATCTTGTAGCTGGCAAATCCAGAACTTGAAGCCAGGGCATTTGATAAATATTTTCATGTCATCCACCACTCTGTGCTGTCATCCTGAAGAAACTCTTTCTGGCTGAAGTCTGGGCCTCTAGTTCTAAAGGATGGACAACTCAGGGAAAAAGGAACAAGGAGGCACAGAAGCAAGACAACACAGAATAGTGAATAGTTTGGCTGAGCTGATGAAGAGGGTGGACGATGAAAGATAAGTAGGGTGGAGTCATCACGAATTTTAACACTCAAAGATTTGGGCTTTTTGCTTTGAAAGGGAGCAACAATTGCAAATTTTTGAGCAAGGGTGTGACATGATAATTTTTTTTTTCTTTAGGAAGATTCTTCCTGGTTAGAATATGTAGGAAATTTTGAAAGGGAAAGGAGACTTGAAATGGCAAGACTAGTGAGAATAGTATTTACTGTAGTGCCAGTGAGAGAACATGAGAACTGATGCAGTGTGAAAGAAGTGGGGGGGGGTGGGGGGGTGGAGATGTCCTAGAGAAGCTGATGGCAGGACTCTGTAACTTTTCACTTACCCGAGTAAGTTGTTGACCCTTGTGACTGGGAGAACGTTAGTACAATTAACAGAAATAGAATAGAAGTTGAAGTAGGTTTTAAAGGAATGATGAGTAATTAACTTTTTAATTCTTCTTTAATTTGCTGTACTAGCAGCATATACAGGGGTGATGCCAGAAGGGTTTTGAAACTGTAAGGCTAGGGTTTAATGAAGATAGAAAGTTTAATTATATGGATTTGGGAATAGGGGTGATGATTAAGGCCTTGAGTCTGAATAAAATAGCCAAAGGAGAAAGTAGAAAGACATGTATCACATGCAGATTCAGAAGACACATTGAAAGTGCAGAAAGAATAAGAAGAATGTGAAGTGCAGGGCTATGCGACGAAAAAAAATCCATATTCAAAAATCCATATTCGTAATTTACATAGGATAGCAAGTCATACCTGGAAGTTACAGTATTATAAAAACATTTTGTATAAACCCTTTTTTGTTTTAAAAAAATACTTAGTTGCAGAATTAGGTTTCCTAACCATCTACAATAGCAGCAACAAACTAAATACAGTAGCACCTCCATAGTGGACCACCCCTGCATTGCCCCACCTCCTTCTGTTGACCTAATTTTCATAGACCAACCACACATGTACCACATGTACATATCCACAGAGTAGGCCTAGGTCCTTAGGTTGACCAATATGTCACAGTTGCTAGATGGTCAACTTACAGAGAGGTTCTGCTGTACTTTGGAGCCCACCTTCTATTATATATGCTTAGATGTTGATATTTTAGCTAACAGAGATAAGTAAAGACTGTTCTACCCCTAATGAAGATATGTTTTGTAGGAAAAACTCAAGACCCTTTTTCTGTGAAGCTGCATCACTGTCCAGTAAATCACAGTTGGGATAATACCATTTCTGCATCACGAAAGGCGATATTCTGTGATAAGACTCTTCCATACTCCTTACCAGTAATTAATCTACTCACAGCTGAGGGAAATCCAGGTAAATATTTACTGTAAGACACTTTGTAAATGATGCCATTTACCTTGCAAGTAGATGTTCAATAGATTTGGCGTATGCTAAGGTTTATTTGTCTTTATTTCCTTAATAAATGCATACCTTCCTAAGTAAGGAAGCGCTTCAAATCCCAGAAGATGGGAATGCTGACGTATAATAACAGCCCAAACAGTATTCCATGAGTATTTATCTAGGGAGGGAGAACTGAGATGAAGTTTTGCTTAATGTTATTAAAGGTTAAAAATTACCCTTGCTTATTTAACACATATGCAGGTATATTTTATATTTGGGGGAAAAAATAGACCTAAAGACAAAAACTGAAAAACTAAGTTTTAGGCCAGGATTTATAGCCTATAATAAGGCAGTGTGTTTTATGGGTGGTAAGGGGAAAGATAATTACATTGCTGAATGTTTCCTGAAAAATAATAGCATCCATCCCCCAAAATATTGGCACAATATTCCATATTGGCACAATCATAGGAAAATGTATTTTGCTCATTGCTACCTATCTGTCCTCACCTTTTATTTTCTTTTTATTTTATTAAGTCAATTACACATAGATCATGAATACATTCATGCATATGTGGGGTACAATGTGCTGATTTTTTTTATACAATCTAACGTGGTTACATTAAACCAATCAACATAGCTTTCACCTCATTAACTTGATTATTGTGCCAAAACATCTATATTCTACACTTCACAGATTTGACTTGTTTATTCTTGGCTGGCTTGTCAACAGAGCATCCCCAGCCAGGTATGGCCCAACAGTGGATCCAGAGCAAAAGGGAAGACATTGTGAGCCAAATGACAGAAGCCTGCCTTAACCAGTCGCTAGACGCCCTTCTGTCCAGAGACTTGATCATGAAGGAGGACTATGAACTTATTAGTACCAAGCCTACAAGGACCTCAAAAGTCAGACAATTACTGGACACCACTGACATCCAAGGAGAAGAATTTGCTAAAGTTATAATACAAAAGTTGAAAGATAACAAACAGATGGGTCTTCAGCCATATCCCGAAGTACTTGTGTCCTCTGGATCACCCTCTTTAAATTTACTTCAAAATAAAAGCATATAATTGAGTCTTTTACAAGAAAAATGTTAGTTTATAAAAGGATATTTATATCTATGTTGCCTTGATACTGTTTTTACAAAATCTATATGAGAATTAGAGGCTTTACTAAAGATTCTGCTTTTATCAAATATTAGTCTCCTTCCGTGACATTGCAGTATTTTTTTAAATTAATGTAAGTAAAAAGCTTGCATTTGGCTACATAGCTCAAGTTTTTATGTCTCTTTTGTTAATGAAAGTACTTTTTAAAGTGTATAATTATTATTCTTGTCCATAACAGCGTCTTAAGGTATAATGTGTTTCTGACAGAAAGTTATTTTGACATTACATTCTTTGTCGATTATTTATTACTTCAGATGCAGTTTGACTTTATGAAATGTATACCCTTTCCACACCAGAGAAAGTTCAGCATTCCTACCCTATAAGGCCAGAATCAAATGTTTTTCAAAGGGTTACTCATTTTAAACTGTATTATTCAGATTATAATTTAAAGTTTTATTAATGTATTCTTTTTTTAAAAAGTTGTTTCAGGCTCACACCTGTTATCGTAGCACTCTGGGAGGCCTAGGCAGATGGACTGCTTGAGCTCAGGAGTTTGAGACCAGCCTGAGCAATAGCAAGACCCTGTCTCTACTAAAAATAGAAAAATTGAGGCAAGAGAATCACTTAAGTCTAAAAGTTGGAGGTTGCCGTGAACTATGATGCCAGGGGTCTCTACTCAGGACACCAGAGTGAGACTCTGTCTCAAAAAAAGAAAAAAAATAGTTGTTTAAAAGTTAAGACAATACAAAGTATATAAAGAAAAAATTTATGTCTTCAAATACTGGTTATCTGCCCCAACTGTTAAGCTCAGCCTTCCCCACTGTCCAACAAAAGTGAAGCTAATGTCTATTCTTCTGCAGCCTTCCTCCTGATCACATTTAAAGTCTATACTCTTTGGGGAACAAGTTGTTTCTTCATATTATTATCATTGTACAACATCATACTACCACCTGCTTTTTACCTTTAATAAGTACAGGGTATATAGCTTTAGAGAGCAGATACAGATCTAACACGTGCTCTTAAATCACTGCACGATATCTGTACTGTTGCTTTTATTTTCTTAACTCTCATTTACACCAAGTTTAGGGCCTTGGTTGATGGGATATACCACTAAATGAAAATGTACAAAGAATAATGGCCCTTTTCTGAAATAGCTTAGCAAAGTCGGCAAAATGTGAGATACAGGATAAATTTGGAAGTACAGAGTTTTAAGAAGCACCAGACCCACAACCTGAAAAAAGCTGAAGAAGAGTAAAAGCAATTAGATAGCATTGAGGTGATTAAAGATTTTATTAGAAATATAAAATAAGTATTTTAATCTCTATTTTGGAACTTGACATTAACCCGCAGTACTACTTACTGTGTCTTTTGAGAAATAAGGAAATCAGTATAAAAAAATGAAAACCAAACACAGGGGTTCTCATTTACATTTTTAAAAGTGTTAAAGTAAAGATTTAATGTAGGAAATAATAAGTAGAGAGAAAACTTTTTTTGAAGCCCTTTTCTTTTCTCTATACCTAAGAAGAAAACCCTTTTGAATATTATTAGCTTCAAATTGACTTTAATATCAATTAAATGTGGTATATCTGGATTAATAAAATCAGCTTTGCCCTGATCTTTGCAGTTTCTGTAGAGATCTAAAAACTCATAGTTTATGACGTGCTTACCAGCCACTTTCTTCTATAATTTATTATATGGAAGACACACAGGTCACCATCTATCATCACAGTCTGCAGACTTTCTACATGAATTATAACAGATTGATGAATAAGGAGACAGTGTCAAGGATCAAATTGAATCTGCAGTGAGCTCTCATCTTTTCCTAGCAGGGATGTTTAGGGGAGATGAAGCTAAGTATGACCAGTGATAGGACAGGATCTGGCACAGAACAGGCACTTTCTAAATAACTCTTTAGTGAATAGTTCTGTGGAAAGATGTTTCCTTTAAATCACCTTTCCCAGATATAGTACAGCTAATAGTAAGTGGGATTATTTTAGGCAATTATGTAGACAGTACTAAATAACATTTGAGTTATACAGAAAGGAAGTTCTTTTATGAGCTTTCTGATTAAACAAAGGAGAATATCTCAATTTTGTGCTGTCACCATTTTATCCCCCTTTTTAACAAAAACAGACAAGGCTTTGGGCTGAGAACTCCAAAAACAATATTGAGCAAGAATTTGATAGTTATCTTTTAATTGTACTCAGTTTGAAAATAAATTTCTTCATGTGACAAGTACTGTTTTTTATCTCTAATGTATAATCTTTCATTTTGTTTTATTCAAATAAAGATAATTTTAATTATTAATGAAATCATATAGGTAGTATATGAAAGTGCTAATAATCATAGAAGTAATAAGGAGAATGACAGATTAAGATTCAGTTTCTCCAGAAAGGGACCTAATAATCTGATCTTTATTTATCTATTTTTTTTTTTTTTAGAGACAGAGTCTCATTTTATCACCCTTGGTAGAGTGCTGTAATGTCACAGCTCACAGCAACCTCCAGCTCTTGGGCTTAGGTGATTCTCTTATCTCAGCCTCTCAAGTAGCTGGGACTACAGGCACCCGCCACAACACCTGGCTATTTTTTTGTTGCAGTTTGGTCAGGGCCGCATTTGAGCCCACCAACCCTAGGTATATGGTGCCGGCGCCTACTCACTGAGCCACAGGCGCCACCCAGATTATTTCTTATAGCATATTTTAAGACAGTGCTACCAAAAAGTATAGTCCACAGACGAACACCATTAGCATCACCAGGAGCTTGTTAGAAATGAAAATTCATGACTCCTATCTCAGACCTACTGACTCAGTCTCTGAGGCTGAGGTCTAGAAATCTGTTTTAACAAACTCTCCAGGCAATTTTTATTCACGGTGAATTTCAAGACCTTTTGCTTTAAGAAACACTGGAGATTTGTTCATAAAATAATTTCCCTTTAAGTTCACAGCTGTTTTCCTGATGTCTGATTGCCTCACTTATCTTCAGAATTTACAGTCTCTGAACTTCAGTTTGATTAAACAATTTTACTTTTGTTTTGCTCCAATTTGAATTCCAAAAATAATTTTAGTCATGTTTTCCATTTTGGAAAGACTACTTCACTTAAATATGATAATAAGATCAATGGATTAGAATCTACAACTTTCTTTAGGGAAGATCTTCAGAAAGGAGAAAGACTTGAATTATAACAGGAGAAAAGTCAGGTTGTAATAGGAGGAACAATACGAGAAACAAACCAAGTTCTGCTGGAAATTATATTAAAGAAATTTGCTACACTATGAAAGACTAGAGTGTTGCAGCAATAGCATCAAACAGGGGGCTGGTTTTTTCCTCCTCTTTCTTCTTTAATCCTCTGCCCCCTAAGTCAAATACTCAATGTTCTAATTTATGAAGAAAAATTATGGCAAATTGAGAAGGAATGAAAATCAGTAACTTTCATGCTTAGCCATCCTCACAAACATCTCATTAGTTTCAGAAATGTGCTTCTCCAGAATCTTCCCAAACTAACACCTGCTCTTTCTTGCCTCTGGATCATGTCTTTCCAACTCAAACACCCAGATTCCCTTTAAAAATGAAATGTCTTTCCTTGGCCTTCTAATACTTTTAATACTTTTAATACTTTCCTTTCCTTTTAATACTTTTCCTGGAAATGTTTCTACCTTTCCTCTATGTAACCTGTTTCTTAATTATTTAAAATGTGATGTCATATAATTACTGAATGAGTTGAAGGGAATACCTATCCATCTGGTGCTTCAAATTTTTATAAAAATGTTAATAGATGTTTATCTCATGATTAAATACTTCTGTTGATAAAGGGAGAGATCATTGCCTCTTTAGGCAATTTATTTCCTCTCCAAACAGTACTATCAGTACTTTCATACATTAGTTTGAGAATCTATTTCTCTGTAGTTTATGTATCTATTGGTCCTGGTTCCAAACCTTTCAAATAGAGCTTATAAGGTAATTCTAATCCCTCCTCCTCATGACAGTGTTTTATATATTTCCATGCAACTCTCCTGCTTCTGATGATTTTTTTTTTTTGGCATCTGAATAATTACTGTTTCCTTCGATACTTATTTAAGAAGCAAGTTCTATATTCCTGTCAAAGTATGTTAGCCATAACTGGACATGATGTTCCTAGTCGGGTCTTCCCAACACTGTTGGGATACGTGGCATTTCCTCCCTTATACTTAAGAAAGACAAGAAAAACCCATTTATTAGAAGTCACATATACCATATACATAGTTGAATTGATATTTACTAGCTAACAAATCCTTTGTCTTTATACCTGTGTCGTTTTTCCTTCTTTTTTACATTCAAGGAATTAACTTGGGTTTTTAGGCCCATATATCACAGTTTTTCTTTATTCCTCTTAAATTTTTTAAATCCATTCCTACTTCCAGGCATTCAGAATCTTTTTTTTTCCCAAATCTGGAATCTTCCAGTGTATCATTCACATATTTGACAAACTTCAGGTGTTATAATTTTATCCATGTTACTAATTAAAATGTAGTAGAATGGTGCTAGGCCTTGTACAAGGATTACAAAATGCCACAAGGCCTATTCCCTTGAATTTGACAAAGTTCATCCCTACTTAGGTGCAATCATTCATCTAATCACTAATGAATATAACTGAAATAGTTTTTCAAGTGTTTAATATTAAAAAATGTGGAGTCCACCAACTTAACCCAGATGATTTCTATTTCCAAGTCAGTTTTTAAAGCATTGGGCTTGTTTTTTCATCTAAAATGTGTGTTTCAAATATAAGTATACTTTTTTTTGCTACTGGTACATTAAGTCATTAAAATGGGGCATGTTTCATCTTTTAAAATATTAAATGGGCATTTCTCCGGCTCTGCTTATAAAATCCAGTGTAAATCACTGTGCGTGCTAAAATACCATGATTTAAGGATATTAACCACATAAAGAACTCCCAAATTCAACACCTGAAGAAAATTCTAAAAAACAGAAGATAACCTTCAGCTTCAGCCCAGCCACCAAGTTTGGTTCTGTGGTAAGTATTCAATTAAGAATTTCTCCTGATCAGCAAAGACTGATTTTTGCTGGCAAACAACTGAAAGATGGATGTACATTGTCTGACTACAACATTCAAGAGAAGTCCACACTTCGTCTTGTGTTGAGACTTGTGGTGGTGCTGAGAAAAGGA